TGGTGGCGGTATGAAAGTCCTCAAACATCAGTACCGCCCTTTACGGGGTACCCCTACCTGGCTGGGGTGGGATGGATGAGGAAATTGTTCATCCGTTGACGGTGGACAGAGTGTCGGAGCCCTCTATATCGGGAAGGGTCATTCCTGTGAGATATTATCTTGAACTCTGACTTTTTGCTTTCTATGGGATACAATTGAATAAGAAAAAAGGTTGCCATTTTCTTTTATTGATTCTTTTAGAAGGGTGTTTGCTGATTTCTTTGAAAGGATATGTTCTCTGTCACGTAAAACCTTCCCATTTTCATGGCAATCTAAATATAATGAACTAGTAATAACGAGTGATCACGAAATTAATTCTATGGAAACAAAAACCGACATTTATCAATATAGGAACGGACATAAATAGACATTGGCTGTGGGAGGAACACAACACAGAGTGGAGCATACGTGCTCAAGGTTAGATATACGTTTTAGAAATGATCTCAACGACTGTTTCAATGTAATGTGGCTACTGTAAATTCTAGAATGATTCAATTGTCTTACGAATGATTGAAAGACGTATCATGCTATGGTCAGAATTTAGGGTGTTTCCTAAACGCGGTGAAAAGAACGCGATCGATTGAGTGCGTGGAGCAGAGCACCCACGTCAACCCGACCAGCTACCGTCCTATCTACCGCCCTACCGTGAATAGAGAATCTGCATAAGTGTAATGATATGCAAACTGAGAAGTTCACTGTGTGACTTAAACCTTTGGAGGGCTCTACTAGTCAGTAATTTGTTGTATTAATACATTTTGTCTGTAATGCAAAGCAGCGATTTTCAGCTAATTGCCTTGCTGTGAAAACTGCAGTGAAATATGGAGGACGAATCTCATCGGCGGTCGATTTAAAAGCTTGGCTTTCAACTGACCGCCTTGGGGAGTCTCGGTTATTTTTGATATTCAAGAATTGGATTTCCTATCGATCTTATATATGGCGTTTCCGTAAAAAGTGACTCAATTAGATATCTAGGGGTAACAATTGATAGACAGCTTCGTTGGGACTTACGCAAAAAGAAACAGTAAGAAAGATGAGAGGTACACTGTCTAAATTCCTGTATCTCAGAAACTTCTTAGACATGAAACATTTGAAAACTCTATATTCTGCACTTGTTCAGTCTCAATTGTCTTTCAATGATGAGTTTGTTATGTATACATGAATTGATGACAATTAACTAAAAATGTCCGTATGAGTGAACATGTATCAGAAAAGTTAAACTCCATAATGAGTTTGTTATGTATACATGAATTGATGACAATTAACCAAATTTGTTTTTTAAAATAAAGGGGATATCTGTCAAAAATAAACAAAACATTAACTTCATCCTAGTTGCATAAAATTTGGCATATGGATATGAAATTGCCGTAGACACAACTTTTTCCAGTAACTCTCTGTTAAATTCGATCTAGAAATGCACTTTTTCAATAAAAAAAGTTGAATTTAACAAACACTGAACGTCAGTGGGTCGCAGTTGGCCGCATCATTTCAAGTTAAATTTGAAGCACAAACAAGTGCCGAAGTTAAACTTCGAAAATCTAAACGTTTGGGTAGGAATTTTGGGAGACCAACTAATTGAACTTCTGTTTATTCCTGGTAATTTAACTGGCAAACGTTAACTTGAAATGCTGGAAAATGCGATTGATCCGTTAATAACTGAACAATTAGAAAACGATCATCTACTACTTGAACAAGACGGATCTCCTCCGCACTACGCCGCACCAGTTCGCCAATACCTCAATTGGCAATACCCCGGTCGTTGGAATGGAAGAAGAGGTCCTATGGAGTGGCCTGCCCGATCTCCTGACCTGAACCCTCTGGACTTCTTCTTGTGGAGACATCTCAAGTCCAAAATTTTTGTGACTCTCTCTGAAAATTTGGACGAACTATGCCAAAGAATTGTGAATGAGTGTCGTCAAATAACTCCAATTATGCTGAACCAGGTCAGAGACGGTTTTCAGTCAAGATTGTATTATTGTATGGAAGTCAATGGAGGACAAATTGAACATTTGATTCAAACACGCAGATCTGATTTTTTTTATTGTAAGCATGATGATAAAACAATTAAATTTTTTCAAGAATGTGATTTTTTGAAAATTGTTTAAGTTTGTAAAAAGGGCTTGATAAAAATGGGATTGTACATGTGAAAATAACCAAGAGCTCCCTATTAGGGGGTTGCTAGTACAAGCCTAAAATATACGTCATAAGATGTCCCCCAAACAAAATTATGCGACTTGTTTCGGGAAATTTTTCTACTCCCTATGGGATAACAAATATACGGAGTGGCTCGCCTGAGATGGAACACCCTGTATATTATAGGCTTTTAAATCTGGGGCCATGATTGAAGGAAGACTTGCTGAGACTTGTAGTCAACGCACATACAACTGATGACATCGTCCGCAGTAGCACACGAAACGTTCGGTACTTCAATTTCTATTCGATAACGGGAATTAGCCGATACTTGATGAAAATCCATCACTAACGTATTCAAAAAACACTTTATTATGAGATTTGCAGTAAAGAGTTTTACAAAAACGCAACACGTGTTTCGCCATACAATGGCTTCTTCAAGCGTATTGCGGTTTTGCAAAATTGTTTAGTGAAANTACAGGTACCGAGATAAAATATGCACGTGAGTGACTGAACCTCACCTGCCCGAGAGGAAACAACGGCGTAGCAGCTCAGTGCAGTCGCTGTAATCGAAGGCTTAGGAAAGGTCGCCTACTAGATCAACTCGCGATTGCGAGGCCGACTCATTCGACGGTGTTTTGTTTTGGTCGATTATCGCGGCCGGTGGTGTGTGTTTATCGTCTGTGATTGTGCGTCACCAAAAATGGGCAACAAATTGTGCAAGAAGAAAGTGGACGCTGTGGATAACGCTGCAGTCAAGTCGCCTACGACTTTCGACAGGATAATCAATAGATTACACGTGAGTTGGGGTTTAGGGACGGCTGCACTGCCCGTTGTTCAAGTAACCTTTGTTTACATTTCGACGGCATAGTTGGAGGTTGAGTCAACGTCAAATTTGGCCATGATGTGGTCAGAAAATGAGTAACATTTGCTTTCGCTGAGTAACAACCTCGGAATAAACAATCATGTTATTTTTCAATATTGTAATTAATGGGTTTTGAGTAAGAATACATAATAATAATAATAATAGTATGCTTTATTGCCCAAAGAACATTAGGTCTTATTGACAAAGCTGTAAATTTTCATCAGTCATCATAAACATTTTTTCTCACTCATGGAAAAAGTTTATACTGGAATCAATAGTGGCGAGGTTGCTGCTGCAGTATTTTGCGATTTCTCGAAGGCTTTCGACTGTGTGGATCACGAAATACTGCTGAGGAAGCTTCCTTATTACGATTTCAGAGGAGTGATACTGAGCTAGTTCAGCTCATATCTGTCAGGTCGTAGCCAGATGGTGGAAACAAACCACCGCTCAGAAATTGGAAAAATACTTAAAGGTGTACCTCAGGGTTCAATACTAAGGCCAACATTGTTTCTCATCTACGTCAACGATTTGACAAGTATAAATATTTCAGGGAAATTCACACTATTTGCAGACGATACTACCATTTTTTGGCAATCGGACAATGCAAACGATTGAACCAAAATCATATCCAACGATATGATGACAGTGAAAAATTGGTGTGATTCAAATCGTCTCTCTCTAAATATTTCGAAAACTAATGTAGTAACTTTCAGATTCGAACTTGGCAATATACCCATTGGGAGTAACATCATTGAGAACAAAAGTAGCCTAAAATTTTTAGGAGTACAAATCGATATACTAAAATTTGAAGAACATATTGATGCCTTGTGTAACAAAATGTCCTCTGGATGTTATGCAGTCAGAGTAGTCGCAAATGAACTTGGTTTAACAGCAGCTAAGACTGTTTATTTTTCTTTGGTGGAATCTCACTTGAGATATGGAATTCCATTTTGGGGAGTATGTAGTGGTTATCTACTTCA